TAAGTTTTCACAACTAACATTGGTCCCTCCCGACATATTTGAAGTGTTCCCCGGGCCGTCTCATGGCTGTTGCACGATTTTGGCCCTGATGGCCTATTTTCAAGTTTAAGTGTGAAAAAGTGCAGTTTTGGGCTTAGTTTTCAAACCGGGAGTCCCGTGCTAGTTCCGTAAGTTTCCACCACTCACATTGGTCCCTCCTGATGTGTTTGAGGTATTCCCCGGGCCGTCCGTTGTCTGTTGCATGATTTTGGCCCCCGGTGGCCTATTTTCAAGCTTAAGTATGAAAAAGTGCATTTTTGGACCTAGTTTTCAAACCGAGAGTTCCGTGCTAATTCCGTAAGTTTCCACAACTCACATTGGACCCTCCCGAGGTGTTTGAGGTGGTACCCATGCCATCTCGTGGCTGTTGCACGATTTTGGCCCCCGGTGGCCTATTTTCAAGCTTAAGTGTAAAAAATTACATTTTTAGACTTAATTTTCAAACCGGGAGTCCCGTGCTAGTTCCGTAAGTTCCCATAACTCACATTGGTCCCTCCCGAGGTGTTTGAAGTGGTCCCTGGGCTGTCTCGTGCCTGTTGTACGATTTTGGCCACTGGTAGTCTATTTTCAAGCTTAAGTGTGAAAAAGTACATTTTTGGACTTAGTTTTCAAACCGGGAGTCCCATGCTAGTTCCGTAAGTTCCCACAACTCACATTGGTCCCTCCCGAGGTTTTTGAGGTGGTCCTCGAGCCCTCTCATGGCTGTTGCACGATTTTGGCCTCTATTGACTTATTTTTAAGCTTAAATGTGAAAAATTACATTTTTGGACGTAGTTTTCAAACTGGGAGTCCCGTGCTAGTTCCATAAGTTCCCACAACTCACATTGGTCCCTCTCGAGGTTTTTGAGGTGGTCCCCGAGCCCTCTCGTGGCTGTTGCACGATTTTGGCCTCTATTGACTTATTTTCAAGCTTAAATGTGAAAAATTACATTTTTGGACTTAGTTTTCAAACTGGGAGTCTTGTGCTAGTTCTGTAAGTTCCCACAACTCACATTGGTCCCTCCCGAGGTGTTTGAGGTGGTCCCTGGGCCGTCTCGTGGCTATTGCACGATTTTGGCCCCTGAAGGTCTATTTTCAAGCTTAAGTGTGAGAAAGTGCATTTTTGGACTTAGTTTTCAAACCGGGAGTCCCGTGCTAGTTCCGTAAGTTTCCACAGCTCATATTGGTCCCTTCCGAGGTGTTTGAGGTGATCCCCAGGTCGTCTCGTGGCTGTTGCACGATTTTGGCCCCCGAAGGTCTATTTTCAAGCTTAAGTGTGAAAAAGTGTATTTTTGGACTTAGTTTTTAAACCGGGAGTCCCGTGCTAGTTCCGTAAGTTTCCACAACTCACATTGGTCCATCTCATGCCCTCAGCCCTTTTCCTTGACATATACAATCTTTTTAAACTTGGTGTCAAAGGAAAGTACCGCAATACTTTATGAGGGATTTTCTTACTCATTCCACGATTGATCTTGTATCTAGATGTCTTACAAGTCGGACATTTATCTAGTGTTGCATTCTCCTTCCAAAATAATACACAATCATTTATGCAAGCATGAATGAGCTCATATGACAAGCCCAAGTCACGTAGTATTTTCTTAGCTTCATAAGTTGACTTTGGAACCAAATTTTCTTTCGGTAAAAGTCTACTCAAAAACTCTAGCATCATATAAACTGACTTATTGCTCCAATGATTTGTTACCTTCATATTAAGCACCTCAATCACAAACTTCAACAAAGTATAATTTGTACAATTCGGGAACAACTCACGCTTGGCATCAGTCAACAATTGATCAAAAGTTCTCACTTCCTCCCCTTGGGTTGTATCAGTCGATTCCCCTCTTATTTGATCTTCCACTAAGGCTTCAATACCACCTACAATTTCATCACCATCAAGTCGCATCTCATCATCATGGTAAGCCTCGTTTGAAACACGAGGTTCCCCGTGCTGGTGCCATACAGTGTAAGTTTGCATAATCCCATATTGGAGCAAATGAATTTCCACATTTTGAAGATTTTGTCTACAAACATTCACACACTTTATACATGGGCACAACAGATTACCATTTTGGTCTATAACTGTAAGGCCCCGGTGTCCCACATCGGGAATGAAGAGGGAGTTCCTGGGCTATAAAAGTAAAAACCTGGACCCTTATATAGCATCGAGGCCTTTTCCCAAGTGGTGAAATCTTTATTAGAACTCCCCAGTTAAGCGTGCTTAGGCTGGAGTAGTTCTAGGATGGGTGACCCACTGGGAAGAACATATCCGTGCGAGCGTGACCCAAAGCGGACAATATCGATGACGTGTAAAGGGTCGGGCCGTTACAAATGGTATCAGAGCCGACTCTCCGGAGTACCGAGTGTGGGCCCCTGGCGTCTCTCGGTGCATGTGGGCAGGCTTGCGAGCTGGCAGGCTACTGCACGGGAACGTGCAGCCTTATGGGGGGTGGATTGTAAGGCCCCGGTGTCCCACATCGGGAATGAAGAGGGAGTTCCTGGGCTATAAAAGTAAAAATCTGGACCCTTATATAGCATCGAGGCCTTTTCCCAAGTGGTGAAATCCCTATTAGAACTCCCCAGTTAAGCGTGCTTAGGCTGGAGTAGTTCTAAGATGGGTGACCCACTGGGAAGAACAAATCCGTGCGGGCGTGACCCAAAGCGGACAATATCGATGACGTGTAAAGGTTCGGGGCGTTACAATAACCCCTATTGCAAATTGAAGAAGTAACTTCACTCCATCATTATATGGTTTACTCATTCTTCCATCAGCCGTCCTATCTAGGGCAATTCAACTTTTATCCATGTCTGATCACAAATGAAAGATTAGGAACAATATAGTATAATGTAGACTTGTGTATTTATGAACTAATTAAATTGAAAAATTCAATAACAACTTCACCAAATATATGTCCAGATCTTTAATGAAGATTCTTATACAAGTTCTAATGTTATATGCAAGTAAGGAATAAAAACTAACAAAAATGGTCATTATTGATTTTAACATTCTAACACCATTCCTACTGCAATACAAAAGCAAAATACTCCACCATTATAACACCAACATACTCCACCAGCAGAACTCCTACACTAAAGGCTACTGATGTTGCACCTACTAACCTAGGCCCCTTCTCAAAACATACTAGCTAGTGCAAGAGCATAGTTGATACTACCTAAACATTACTACTATTACTACTACTACTACTACAGAGACCAAAGAGGCATGGCTTCTAATACATGTAATGCACTGCCACTGTCAAAAGGCCTAAAATATGCAGCCTATATATATGCAGCAGATGGAATTGAAATTGAAGTATCAACAGGTTGTATATATATAACAGCTAGATGAGATTGAAACATAACAACCTATATGTATATAACAGGTTGTATATATATATATATTTTATATGTAAAAAAATCTGTAACCAGTGAGAGGGAAACTGAGGAATGAAAGGTGGGGATCAACCGAAAAAGAAAAAATTGCGAAGTGGTGTAATCGGCTGCTGAAGTTATATATATATACATATATATATTTTATATGTATACAGAGCATTATATAGAGCATTATACAGAGCATATACAGAGCATATTTTATATGTATACAGAGCATATTTCATATGAATACAGAGCATATACATCAGACAAATACATCAGAGGGAGCATTGAGAGAGAGAGACTAACAGCGGTGGTGTTCTCCGATCGGCACAGCAGCGGCGGTGAGGAAAGGAGGGGCTAACGGCAGCGGTGGTAAGGGCTGTCGGTGGTGAGAGCTGTCGAAAATGGTAGCAGCGACGGTGAGGGCCTTGTGTGTGAATGAGTATAACGTGTGTGTGTGTGCGCGTGTGTGTGAAATAGGTTTGAACCAAGAAATTATTGTGTATGTTTGAGAAGAAGAACCGATTGTGCCAAAACATTTTTATTTCCCCCCTAAAATATTTAGTGACTAAATTATATTTTGGTGACAAAATTATTTCTTCACAAAAGATAAAAATATTGGCCACAAAAATAGTTTTGTCATTAAATGATATTAAAATATTAAAAATTATTGGTGAAAAAAATATATTCGTCATTAATAATTTTATAATTGGTGACCAATTTGTTCGTCACCAAAAGTCTATTAATTTTGGCGCCCTTCGAAAATATTAGCGGGAAAATATATGATGACAAAAAAAATATAAATAATGACGAAATATAATTTCGTCATCTATTTCTTTTATTATGATTTAGATTGGTGACGAAATTTTATTTTTGTCTTCAAAAATGGTACATTTGGAGACGAAATATGATTTTCGTCATTAAAAGATACATATTTCGTGACAAAAATTTTTTTCGTCATTAGTTTTCGTCTCTAAAGACTATTTTTGTTGTAGTGTTTAAAAGTATTAAAATAGAAAATATGAATGAAATTTTTTGCTATATATAATTGAACAAATTTTAACATAGACTACAATAAAATTGAAAAACTTATAGGACAATTTGTATTTTTATTTTATCATAAACTAGCATATCACCCGTGCTATGCACGGATTAATTTTTTTAATTAAATAATAATATAAAATTTATTTAAAATGTATAGAAAAATAATTTAGATTGATTTAAATTTTAACCATTTCATTAGAATTGATAAAAGAGGTCAGCCAAATCAACCAAAGCAGAGGAAAACTGAGCCACAGTCACAGAGCTGAGTCACAACAGCAACACGTATTCTGCTCAGCTCAGCTAAAAAATTATGCACAAGCTCCAGCTCAACTGAACTGAATTAGTTAGGCAGTTATGGATTAAATAGAGTTAGATGGGTTGGTTGTGTTTCAATTAAATATAACTATAGTTAAATAGCAGTTACATTCATCTTGTATAAATATGCATATACACTGTAATAAATCAATTCAGTTTTTTATTTTTTTATTTTTTATTTTTTTATGGTATTAGAGCAAATGGAATCTTTGTAGTATGGACTTGTTTGAAGGAGGATTCAACATGAATAGAGTCGAAGTTTAATAAAGAACATAACTCTCCAACAGAAATGAATTTAGATTGAGTTTTGATGGAAGTTTTAAATGCATTGTACTCATCAGGCAATCCATTAAGAATCAGTAAAACCAGATCCTCATCATCTACAGGTGAGGCAGCTAAAGTTAACTGATCAACAATTGATTCGATCTAAGTCAGGTACTTCCATTATATTTCCTTTCTTAACAATGTGATTAAGCTTGTTCTTTAACTGGTGAATATGTGATCTTGACAATGATATAAAACGTTTGATAAGAGCATTCCACACCTCATGACTTGTAGAACAATGAAGCACAGAAGTGAATATAGATGGAGAGAGAGTTGCAGTCAAGCAAGTGAGAAGATGAGAGTCGATAATCATCCATTGTGTACACTCTGGATTTAGAATCACATTGTTGTGTTCATTAGTGATAGTAGATGATGGACATACTTTTGTACCATCAATAAACCAGAAAAGTTGTGTAGCTTTCAGTATATTCTGAACTTGATTTTTCTAGATAATGAAATTGATGGAGTCAAGTTTGACAGTTATGAATGAATTCAACTTCTTCTCGAGGTAGCTATAAAGAAGGTTCTTAAGATCGATGAAGAGATGGTAGCAGATTTTTTAAAAGCAATTCTTCTGGTCCTTGAGGCAGAGGAGGTAGATCTCACGGACAAGGTCCTCTTCAAGGCTCTCATTAAGGATATCAAGGATATCCATCCACTCATTCTTCTGCTGTTATTACTTCCTTAAATCCGAATTTTTCTTCTCTAGTAATTTGTCAGATTTGTGGAAAAACATATCACTCAGCATTAGGCTGTTGGTACAGATTGGATACTTCTTTCCAACCTGTCAGATCTTCCACTTCTTAAGCCTATGTTGCCTCCATATCATCTCAGCCTAGTACTGTGTCCACTGGTGACAGTTCTCATCACAACACCAACACTAACTGGTTTCTGGATTTTGCTGCTACCCACCATATTACCAATGATTTGAACAATTTGGCTTCATATCAACCATATCATGGTTCTGATCAGGTCACTATTGGTAATGGTACTACTTTGCCTATTCATCACACTAGTCAAGGTCTCCTCCCTACACCTTCATTTCATTTTCATCTATCCAACATGCTTCATGTACCTTCCATATCTTCCAATTTACTTTCAGTTCATCAGCTTATCTCTGATAATCATTGCATTATTACTTTTGATAAAGATGTGTTTCTCATACAGGACAAGAGCACCAAGAAGGTGCTCTATAAAGGTTTCCATTCCTATGGTCTCTATCATCTTCCTAGTTGTACTACATCTACTGTTGCATCTACTGCCTCTTATTCACCAAAAACTTGTTTTCATTGTGTTGTTAATAGCTCCACTACTCCTAATTGGCATTTTAGATTAGGCCATCATTCTTCCAGAAAATTTCAGTATCTTGTTAAACATCACTTGTTATCTTCTTCATTTGTTGATGTTAATAAATTGTGTTCACATTGTTGTGTTTTCAAAAGTTATAGATTACCATTTAGTTTGTCAAATTCTACTGTCAATAAAATTTTAGCTCTTATTCACACTGATGTATGGGGCCCATTCACTTCCTCTGTTGCTTCTTACAAATATTATGTGTTTTTCATTGATGATTACAGCAAATTTACATGGTTATTTCCTCATCATTACAAAAGTGAGGTTTTCACTAAGTTCTTGGAGTTCAAGGCTTTTGTTGAAAATCAATTTTCCACTCACTTGCAAGTTTTAAGAAGTGATAATGGGGGTGAATATCTTAGCAATAAATTTCTTGATTTTCTAAAGAGTAAGGGTATTCAGCATCAATTGAGTTGTCCTTATACTCTTGCTCAAAATGGTGTCACCGAAAGGAAGCATAGACATCTCATAGAAACTACCATTCCTCTTATGCACCACTCTTCTTTGCTTCTTGATTATTGGTTTGATGCCTTAGCCACATTTCTTTTTCTTATTAATAGACTTCCTACTGCTAAAATTGATTTTCTTACTCCTTTTGAAGTTTTCTTCCAGCAGCCTCCTGATTATACATTTCTTAAGACCTTTGGTTGCAGATGTTATCCCCGGCTTAAGCCTTATGCGACTCATAAGCTTCAACATAGATCTGTACCTTGTGTGTTTCTTGGATATGTTCCTTCTACTAAGGGCTATAGGTATCTTGATCCTTCCACTGGCAAAATTTATGTCTCCAGACATGTTGTGTTTGATGAACATATTTTTCCTTTTGCTTCTTCAACTGTAGTCCCAGCTGTTTCCTCTTCTTTGTCCCAGCTCAACTCATTTTTCTGGTCTTTACAGTCTCTTTCTCCTATCACTCATTCCACTTCTGCTATCACTTTTTCAATAGTTGTGCCTACCCCTGCAACTATACCTTCTAAAGGTCTTACACCTGCAGCCTCTGCAGCTCTACTTTTTAAAGGTCTTACACCTGCAACTATATCTTCTACAAGTCTTACACATGCAACTATGCCTTTTACAGGTTCTTTTCCATCTGTTCCTATTGTGTTTGGTCAATTTGATCCAGTTCAGTCTCAGTCTGTTCAACAACCTACATTACAGTCTGTCCAGCAATCTGCCTCCCAGTCTGTTTCTCCACCTGTTTCTCTTCTTGGCAGTCTGTCTTCTGTACCAATTCAGCCTCCTAATCTACCTTATCTCTCTTAGGCTCCTTCTCATTCTATTCCCATTTCTTCTTTATCTGTTCTCCTTCATTTTCTTTCTTCCACTAATACTCACTCTATGATCACTCGATCCAAATCTCAGCCACATTATTTACTTACTACTACTGATCTTACTGAACCACAGTCCTATCAAGAGGCTTCTTAATCAAGTGCCTAGATTTCTACTATGAATGATGAATATGATGCTTTAATCCAGCAAGGCACTTGGATTTTAGTCTCTCTTCCACCCACCAAAAAGGCTATTGGTTGCAAATGGGCATTTCTTCTCAAGAAAAATTTTGATGGCACCATTGCTAGGCAAAAAGCCAGGTTGGTTGCCAAAGGCTTTCTCCAAACTGAAGGCATTGATTATTTTGAGACCTTCAGTCTAGTAGCAAAGCAGCCCACTATCCGCATTCTTCTTTGTTTGGCTCTCCACTTTCAATGGTCTATCAAACAACTTGACATTCCCAATGCCTTCCTTCATGGTGTCTTGGAGGAGGAGGTCTACATGTATCAGCCTATTGGTTTTGTTGATACCACACATCCTTTCATGGTTTCTAAGCTTAATAAAGCTTTATATGGACTCAAACAAGCTCCTCGAGCTTGGTTTTCCACCTTTTCTTCCTTTCTTCTTACTCAAGGTTTTAAAGCCAGTCATTGTGATTCTTTTTTATTTGTTAGGAAGAATTCTCACTCCATCACCATTCTTTTGATCTATGTTGATGATATTCTCCTTACAGGGAGTAACTCTTCTTATATTTCTTCTCTCATTACCCACATGCACTCTACTTTTTCAATGAAGGAATTGGGGCTTCTTAACTGTTTTCTGGGCATTTCTGTTACCTCTTCCTCCTCAGGTTACTTCTTATCTCAAAAGAAATATGGTATTGAAATTTTAGTGAAGGCTGGTATGACAAACCACAAGTCTTCTCCTTCACCTATAGCCCTTAAATCTTCTACTAATCATGAAGATTTTCCTTTCTCTCAGCCTTCTCTCTATTGAAGTCTTGTTGTTGCCTTGCAATATCTGACTATCACCCGTCCTGACTTAGCTTTTGTTGTTAACCATGCTTGTTAGTTTCTTCAAACATATCTCACCAGTCATTTTGCCTTGGTTACTAAGGTACCTTAAGGGCACTCTTCATCTTGGTCTTCAGTTTAGTCTTGGCCCTGTCACTTTACATTCCTTCTTTGACTCAGATTGGGGTGGTTGTTCTCTTAATTGAAGATCCATCACTGGTTATTGTGTCTTTTTAGGTCCAAACCTAATTTCTTGGTCATCAAAGAAACAACCCACTGTCTCTAAGTCCTCTAGTGAAGCTGAATACAGAGCACTTGCTCAAACTGCTGTTGAACTTAGCTGGGTTGGTATGTTGCTCTCTGATCTGTCCATCTCTGTGTCAACTTCCACACTTTGGTGTGACAACATGTCTGCCATCTCCTTGCCTAACAATCCTGTCTTTCATGCAAGATCCAAGCACATTGAAGTGGATTATCACTATGTTCGTGAAAGGGTTGCAGCTAAGAAGTTGCATATTAATCACATCTCATCAATGGATCAACTTGCTGATTTATTCACTAAACCTCTTTCCTCTCCTCACTTTCTTTGTCTTTAAACCAAGCTTCTGGGCCATCACTCTCCCATCAGCTTGAGGGGGCATGATAAGGAGCTCAGCCAAAGCAACCAAAGCAAAGGAAAGCTGAGCAACAGTCACAGAGCTGAGTCACAACAGCCACATGTATTCAGCTCAGCTCAGCTCAGCTCCAGAATTCAGCCCAAGCTCCAGTTCAACTGAATTGAATTAGTTAGGTAGTTATGCATTAATTAGAGTTAGATAGATTGGTTGTATTTCAGTTAAATAGTACTATAGTTAAATAACAGTTACATTCATCTTGTATAAATATGCATATACACTGTAATCAATTAATTCAAGAAATAAGAGATTCAGTTTTTTCTTTTAAGAATATATATATATATATATATATTGTAGTTGTTATGTCATTAATCGCATATTTTAAATTCTCAATAAGAAATAGATGTCATAGCCTTCGTTTGTGATGTGGGTTGATTTTTGGGCTTTTTGACTTTTTGGCTATTTTAACCTGGGGTTAAAAAGCTTAGTTTGGGATAGACTTTTTAGCTTTTTTAACTTTTGTGAAAGAAAAATGAAATGATTATGATTTGGATGTGATGTTTTGTTTTATTGACTTTTTAGCCTATTTTATCCTTTTGTGGCTATTTTAGCCCAAACATGGCATGCCAGATAGAAAAAATAGAAAACAATTACAAAAATTAAGTTTTGCAATTTTGTCTATTTTTTCTCTCTTTACCAATTAAATTATGGCATTTATTTCTTATAGAGAATTTAAAATATACCATTAATGACATAATAACTGCAACATATATATATATATATATATATATATTCTTCTAATGAAACGGTTAAA